TTCATAGTCATCTAAAAGCAATGTACACTCTCTAAATACGTTATTAGCAACTAATGGTACTCCGCTTGTAGTGTCAATAGTGAAAGGTTTTTCAAGCATAGTAGGCACGGATTCAATATAGTGAACATAATCATTTGACACAAAAGAATTTGTTGCACTAGAATCAAATAAAATGCAAACAGGCCAACAATTAACAAGAAATATACCCGTAACAACGTCGGGATCGTTCATGGCTTCCTTCGCGGTATTTTGAAATGCCCTGGCCTGAGGTTTCGAAACCTCCTCCTTTTTGGTCGAAGCCCCCGTTGTATGTATCGATCGTTGTCTCGATTGTTGTACCGACCCCTTACTTTCCTCCAATCTATTCTTTGTACATTCTCGCATACGATGACCTAACACACCACAATTATAACATGCCTTTTCTCTTTGAGGGCACTGAGTTCGTATGTGCCCAGCTTCATCACAACAGAAGCATCGTACATAAGTTTGATCACCACTACATCATCCCTGGTGATTCTTGCCACATCGGTTGTAGTTTCGTGGCGTATTTGACTGCATTGTATAAGCTTGTGAGGTAGTATGTGATGTATTATGCGATTGAGCTCGTCTCGACTTGAAGAATCGAGATGATTTAGATGTCGGGGTCGAGAAGGTTCTCTCAACTCTCGATTGTTTCTTCGGTACATCAGAACCAACAGGGAGATTCAGGTCATGCTCTCGTTTCCTTGCATTCTCACTGCTTTGGTAAATGATGGTACGTCGCGATTGGTGACGAAATCGCAAATATTCCGTCGAAGACCGTTGACGAAATGATTAATCTTGTCCTTTTCACTTGGTACGAACTGTTGGGCAAAGTGAAGCTTTCGATTGAACTCTGTTTCATATTCAATCACAGATATTAATCCCTGTTTGAGCTCTAGGAATTCCTTCTCAAGCGTTTGTTTCAAATCATCCGAACAATATTGTTCGAAGAACAACACTTGAAACTCTTCCCATGTCGTTCTATCCTGAGTATTAGGATCCATTGATCGATATGTGGCGTTCCACCAAGTGAGTGCAAGATCGGTAAATGTCGCTGTAGCATAACGTACTTTATCCTCCTCCTACACGTAAACAATCCTGAATACCTTTTCAGTGTTTTCGGCCCATTGCATTGCAAGTACTGGGTCCGTCTGTTCTGAGAACTCTATAGCCCCACTGCTTCTAAATGTTTTAAATGAAGGTCGGTCCGACTTTGGTTTGGGTACGTCTTCATTAACCGAATTCGGTCCTTGGACAACCGAATTATGACCATTATCTGGATTTTGCACTTCAGATAACTTTCTTTCAAACTCTATTCTTTGTTCTCATAGAGCAGCCCGTGTTTGATCATTCATTATTTTTAATAACCTCTCAGTACGAGGTGACAGTTGGGCTTCATCGTCATTGTCAACATTTTCTTGGACATTCTCTTCTAGATTAAGGTTGTCATCCCCAATTTCTTGAGTAACCGGCGCGTTGCTAGATGCATCATGATCAAACATCGTACTGAAATTATAATACGTAAATATAGAGGTCAAATTATATTTTATCCCTTGTACCCCAAAAAATCCTAGGTCTCTCCTACTGGTCTATATCCTATATAATCATAACCTAGTCACTATACATCGCCAATACCTAAGTTTGAGTCCGAATATCATTAATGATAACCAGTTCACTCAAACCACAACTCTAATACCATATCTGTAACATCACGCTTCGGCAATCCCCAAATCACCAATTTTATAAAAATCTCCAATAAAATATAATTTATTGATTATTAGGACCAAAATTGATCCTAATTATTCTAAAAGTTTAGTCAAAGCAATCGGGGCCAAGGATGGAAAATCTGAAGATGCTGCTGAAACGACTAAGTCTGGAGGAAGACCAGAGGCGATGAATTGGTCCAGAGGCAAACGATGGATCAGAGGCTGTTGAAATGACTAAGTCTGGAAGAAGACCAGAGGCGATGAATTGGTCCAAAGGCAGGTGATGGACCAGAGGCTGCTGAAATGACTAAGTCTGGAAGAAGACCAGAAGCGATGAATTGGTCCAGAGGCAGGCGATGGACCAGAGGCTGCTGAAATGACTAAGTCTGGAAGAAGWCYAGAGGCGATGAATTGGTCCAGAGGCAGGCGATGGACCAGAGGCTGCTGAAATGACTAAGTTTGGAAGAAGACCAGAGGCGATGAATTGGTCCAGAGGCAGGCGATGGAACAGAGGCTGCTGAAATTACTAAGTTCGGAAGAAGACCAGAGACGATTAATTGGTCCAAAGGCAGGTGATGGACCAGAGGCTGCTGAAATGACTAAGTCTGGAAGAAGACCAGAGGCGATGAAAATGGACCAGAGGCGATGAA